TCTCAGGCGGTCTCGGGGGATGTCCCTTCCAGTGTGGCGACGGAGGCATTCGAGTCCGATCTCCCTGCCGAAGCTTCTGGGTCTGACCAATAGGCCCCCTTCTGTTCAGCTTACTCGGCTGCGCCAGCTTTTTCTTTAGGGGCCCGTGCTCTCGGGATGACTCGGCCACGGGTCCCCGAGAAGGGGGATCCTTGGGCTGAGGAGGGGCTGACTTGGGGGCCTTGGGGCCCAGCTGGACCCCGCCTGGGTTTTTCTACCCTAGGAGTGGGGCTTACTGCTACAAGGAGTGGGGTTCTCTTTCCCCCCCCCCCCCTGCGTATGAGTTGGATTTGGCGTCTGCCCCTCCCCTGGTTTGGCTCCGTGTTCCCTCATTTACGTCAGTTCCATCTTTCCGAAGATTTTTGGCTTTACGCATCCAACCGTCTGCGGTGCGGGCGGCCCTAGCATCTTACCTACTGCGTGACCCATATTACGCCTCTGTGATGGATCCGTTATCTTTGAGGTTTGGGACTTCGTTCTCTTTCTGGGTCTGTTACGAGGTTCCGGAGTTGTCCTGGTTGGTGGACTGACCTATTTTTGCTTTGGAGGCTTGGCATTCTTTCTGTCGTTCCCGCACACTGAGTGGCGTGAAGTCTCGACAGTGGTCCAGGTTTTCTGGGGGCTACCTTGAGCACCTCAGTGAGTGCTTGTTTGCTCCTGCCCTTCCCTGGGATATTGGCATTCAGCAGCTCCATGTGCAGGTTCCCTCCCTGTTGACTGCGCTGGTGGCCGAGTACTTATGTGCCAGGGGCCTCATGGTGTCGGTCTTGCGTGTCTTTTCCCTTCTGGAGCTGTCTTCGGACTGGCTTGGGGAGGATGTGGGGACGCTTGGGGCCGTTCCAGGTACCGGTGTTTTGGGCTCAATGGCGCGTGCGTTGTCTGCCTTGTTGAAGCTGTTTGCGCCGATCTTGCGGGATGCGGTCTCCCTGTTCTACACTTCCTGAATCGTGTGTCGGCAGGCGGTGCTTGCCTCCTCCTTGGAATTGGCCTGGGCCCTGGCTCTTAGGATGTCTTCGCCTTTTTTTCTTCTGTGTTTTGTGCCTTCGGCCGTGGCGCAGTATATTCAGGCTGCTTCAGCCAGTTGCCATTTTATGTCTGACTTGTTGGTTCTCCGGGGGGGGGGGGGCTCCCGGAATGGTTGTGCCAGGGCTCGGGATTCCATTCGTCGTGGTAGGCCACTGGTTTCAGTTTCGGCTCTGCCTTCTAGCCCACCTTCGTCTGGTCGGCACAGTGCTTGCTATGTGCGAGGTTCTGGGTCTCGTAAGTGGCGTCGGCCCTTTTGCGGTTCACCCCATTGACGGGGTGATGGGGGGGAGGCTTACGCTGTTTGCTCACGCCTGGTCCCACGATTTGTGGGCGTGTCGGGTCGTTTCCCTCAACCTGCGGTGGCATTGGGTGGCCCCCTCCTCCTTCGGGGGATTCAGAGCTGGCGGGGCAGGCCTCTTCTCCTGCACTCCGTAGAGTCGTCTTGGAGTGGATTCACTTGGGCGTCGTTGAAACGTCGTTGTCTCTCATATGGGTTTCCCGTCTGTTTCCAGTGCCGAAATGGGACTGTGCGTACCTGAGGTTCATTCTGGACTTGTCCTGTCTGAACCCCTGGGTTCATTGCCCCTCCTTTCAGATGACTATGCTGTCTCAAGTTCGGCTTCTGTTTTTAAGGCGGGTTCTTGGATGGTGTTCCTGGAATGGGATGCTTATTGGCATGTCCCGATTCATCCGGGATTCAGGGACTGACTCGGTTTTGTTGTGGGGGTGAAAGGCTTGCCACTTTCGTTGTCTCCCGTTCAGGTTGAATCTGGCACCTCACGTGTTCACATGCCTTACACGGGTTGTCGTGGCTCGCTTGCGTCTTTTAGGTGTTCGGGTGTTGGCCTACCTCGATGACTGGCTGGTTTGGGCTCCCAGTCAGTCCAGTTGTCTGCTAGCCATGAATTTGGTTCTTTCTCAGCTTGCCAGGTTCGGGTTCTTGGTGAACTGGAGGAAGTTCCATCTGGTTCCCTCCCAGGTTCGGTCGTTGCTGGATTTTGTGTGGGACTCTCGGACCGTTTTCTTGTCTCTTCCTCCAGAGTCTCTCCTCCGGCTGCGGTCCTGGTTGTGCCTGTTTTTGAGGGCTCCCAGGTCACCCGGCGGTTGCTCGAGGGTTTGTGCGGGAGCCTGAACTTCGTGATGCTGGTCTACCCGCCAGGTCGGGTTTGGCTTCGTCGGCTGTTCTGGTTCTTTCGGGGACATCCCTTCCGCCTCACTCGCGATCGCCGAGTACGACCTCCGGTGACCTTGCATTGGCTGCTGCGTCGCCGGCTTCCTCTTCGGGTTTTTAGAGGGTCAGTGCCTTGGGTGCCTGCCCGACCCCTCGCTCGATGTGTTCACGGACGCATTGTCTCTTGGCTGGGGCTTTGTGACCAGTGCTCACCAAGCTGGCCAGGGGCAGTGGGGTTCGTCCTTCTGTCAACTCCCGCACATTGCGGGAGTTCGTGTCGGTGTGGTTTGCGCTTCAGAGGGTCGACCACAGTTCGACGATCCAGCTCCATTCGGACTGCTCCCCGGTGGTTCATTGCATGAATGGTGGGGGTTCGATGCGGTCCTTGGTTGTTTGGCGCTGGTCTCTTCGGGTGACTCGTCTGCTGAGTTTTCGGGGTTTGGTTCTCCTGGCGGTTCACATGCAGGAAGTGTCCAACGTTTTGGCAGACGGCCCGTCTCGTTTCGTTCCCCTCTCAACGGAATGGATGGTCAATGCTGCCTCCTTCCATTGGCTCTGCCAGATGTTTGGGCACCCTAAGGTGGGCCTCTTCACGTTGGCGGGGTCGCTGCACCTTCCCCAGTATGTGGCGCCTTCCCCAATTGCGAGGCTGTCGGGGTCGACGCTTTTCGGCAGGACTGGTCGAGGTGGGGGTACCAGTACCTCTTTCCCCTGGTTCAGCTGTTGCTCCAGGTCCTGACTCGCTTGGAGTCCCACCAGGGAAGAGTAGTCCTCTTGGCTCCTTGGTGGCCGGCCCAGCCGTGGTTTCAGGCGCAGCCTGCCCGGTGGCCGAACCCAGAGGTTTTCCCACTGCTCTGCCTCTTCCAGCAGATCAGCATCATGTGGCTGGTTCGATCTTCTTCGTATATGGTCTTTTTGACTCGAGTTTATCATCATCTCTATTGTGATCAGGTGGCTTCTTTGTTGGTGTCCCACCTGCGTGCTTCATCTCGGCGGCAGTATGAAGTCTCCTGGCGGTCCTTCCGGTTCTTTTTGTGTCTTCATCGGTGTGTTTTGCTTTCTGTTTGGGTGGTGTTGTCCTTTCTCTCTTGATTGTTCCAGGACCATGACCTTATGCCTAATACTGTCACTTCGTATCGTGCAGCGCTGCCGGAGCCTCTATAGCTTGATTTCGGTATTGATGTTACTTCTGCGCCATTTCGCAAGCTGTCTCGTGCAGTGTTTCGCCTCTGGCTTGCTCATGCGCCGCCTGAGCCGTCCTGGTCTTTGGACAGAGTGCTCTCTTTTCGTTCTTCTCCTCGGTTTGTGGTGGCCCCTTCGGTTCAGGATTGTTTCTCCAAGGCTCTTTTTCTGTTGGCATTGGCCTCCGGGGGTTGGGTTGAGTTGGGGAGCTTCATGCTCTGCTCCAGCGCAGGGGTTTCTGCTCTTTTTGTCTTCGTGAGAGTTTTGGTCGTTTGCAGCTGTCTCCTCCTTTTCTGGCGAAGAATGAGACTGTTGCTCTCCGGAGGAGTCCCCGAGTTGTTGTTGCTTGGTTGGTCAGGCCGGGGGTGCATCATGTTTTGTGTCCGGTTGTGGCTCTTCGCTGTTATTTGTGCGCTACGGCTTCTGTGTCCGGGGACGTGCTTTGGGTTGATCCGTTTCCCTTCTTCCCTGTTAGCTGGTGCAGGTCTCCCTGGTTGTCCGCAGATTAATTAAGGCTAGCCAGCCTGCTGTCTATCCCCGTGCCCATGACGTTCGTAAGTTGGCTGCTCTTGCTGCCATCTTTGACAACATGTCCTGGACTGACATTCGGGCATAAGGCTTTTGGCGGTCGAACAGGGTCCTGGCTGCTCATTACCCCGTGAATGTCCCTGGACCTCGTCGGGCCTGTGTTGCTTTGGGTCGGCAGTTGCAGCCAGTTGTCTCGACTTCGAGTTGAGGAGTGAGCAACGACCACCTCCCGGGTAAATCCCTACACATTCCTCTTTGGGTAGTTAGCTCTGGGGAGCCGAAGGGGCTCCCTCCAGAAAACCAGTGTTGAATGTAATAAAACACCATTTTCTTGGTGAGACCCGGAGGCTCCCCGGCATCCCTCCCTCCCCCCGGTCGGCAGTTTTTCACGTGTTTTTGACATCCAGCCTCGCGCCAGCTATCCTTGACGGGTGGATAGCCGGCACGAGGGGTCTGGGGACTCTCCCTTTTCCCTACCAGGGAGGTGGGAGCTGCGCAGACAGTGGTGTAGCGACGTGTGACGTCATGATTGTTTGCTCGTTTCTTTCAAGGGAGTTCAATCCACTTGTTTGGCTTTTGGTAGCAATAATTTCACCAGAATAGGGGCTTGTTTTGAGATGCTTACCTTTCTGGGTGCCTAACCCGGTCGATGGCAGACATAGACTATTTCCAACCACACGGGGGTTTCTATATGGCCATTGCTCCTCATGCCTCTCTGAGGGGGCCAGGTTCTGGCTCGTGGTCCCCGGTAGGCCCACAGAACTCCATGCACATGGCTGATGCCAAAGTCTGACATTAGCATATCAGCCTAGTAAGCTCCGGGAAGCCTCCGGGTCTCACCCAGAAAATGGTGTTTCATTACATTCAACGCTGTTTTTTTTTTAATGATTGTGAACTTCAGGAAGGTTGTGCATAATCTTTCTTAATTCTTTGGGCTTTGCAGCTCTGCCTACTGTTGCTGTTCTTGATCTTTTACTGAATATGTTGACATAGATATACTTTATGATCTCTCTGTGCTACCTTACTTTATAATTTATATTTGTTTGCATTTCAGCATACTGGTGAACCAGTGGCAGTTAAAACTTTTAATCAGTTATCTCACATGCGACCACATGAAGTACAGATGAGGGAATTTGAAGTTCTCAAGAAGGTTAATCATGACAGCATTGTCAAGCTTTTGGCAATCGAAGAAGATGTGAGTTATTTTATTTCTGTTAAAGTAAATTAAAAAAATGCATTACCGGAATCGGTAATGTTACTCAAATCATCTATACTGTATATGTATTGCATGGTTTAATGGTTAAACAAGCTACGAGGATGAGGGAAAGGGACGTTCTCTTCATGCTAGATTTGATATTTACCAGGAAGGAGGAAGATATTTTTGATATTCAGCACCTTCCTCCCTTGGGTAAAAGTGACCATGTTTTTTTGAGAATAAAGTATACAATGCGTTATAATCTGGAAGAAAATAAGGAGGTTGAAGCAGTTGAAAAACCTGACTTCAGGAGAGGACATTATGGCGACCTTAGAAATTTTTTTAGTGAGTATAATTGGACAGACTTGTCGCTAGGCAAGGAAGTAAATGAGATGTATGTCAAGTTTGGTGAAATATATGATAAAGGCACAAAAAAAATTATACCAAAGCAGAGATGTAGAACCAGGAAACAAGATTGGTTCAACTGAAATTGCGAGAGGGCCAGGTTATCTTGAAGTTATCTTGAGATGATTTCGGGGCTTTAGTGTCCCCGCGGCCCGGTCCTCGACCAGGCCTCCACCCCCAGGAAGCAGCCCGTGACAGCTGACTAACACCCAGGTACCTATTTTACTGCTAGGTAACAGGGGCATAGGGTGAAAGAAACTTTGCCCATTGTTTTTCGCCGGCGCCTGGGATCGAACCCAGGACCACACAATCGCAGGTCCAGCGTGCTATCCGCTCGGCCGACCGGCTCCCTCAAAGATCAAAAGGCCAGAGCCAGAGATCAAAAGTCACAAAAAATGGAATCAATATAGGAATAGGCCAAACCCCCAAACATATTAGCGATACAAAGATGCAAGAAACTACACGGCAGTGAGAAGAGAGGCAGAAAGAAATTTTGAAAAAGGGAATGCGGACAAATGTAAAACGGAACCAGGCCTATTCTATAAATTCATAAACAACAAATTGCAGGTAAAGGATAATATCCAGAGGTTGAAAATAGGAAACAGATTCACGGAAAATGAAAAGGAAATGTGTAAACATTAAACGAAAAGTTCCAAAGTGTGTTTGTGCAAAATGAAATCTTCAGGGAACAAGACACAATAAGAATGCCAGAGAACAACATAGAGGTGTTTAGAGACGAAGTGGAAAAAATGTTCAAGGAATTAAGTAATAACAAAGCAGTTGGTCCAGATGGAGTTTCACCATGGGTTCTCAGAGAATGTGCACCTGAGCTCAGCATTCCACTTCAACTGATTTTTCAAGCATCCCTGTGTAAAGGAGTCATAGCAGATGTGTGGAAAAAGGCTAACATAGTTCCAATCTATTAAAGTGGCAGCAGGGAAGACCCCCTCAATTATAGATCTGTATCATTGACAAGTATAATAATTAAAATATTGGAAAAAATAATTAAAACTAAATGGGTAGAACACCTGGAGAAGAACTATATAATATCAGAGAGACAGTATGGTTTTTGCTCTGGAAGATCCTGTGTAACGAATTTACTTGGTTTCCATGATCGAGCCACGGAGATTTTACAGGAAAGAGATGGTTGGGTTGACTGCATCTATCTGGACCTAAAAAAGGCTTTCGACAGAGTTCCCCATAAGAGGTTGTTCTGGAAACTGGAACATATTGGAGGAGTGACAGGTAAGCTACTAACATGGATGAAAAATTTCCTAACTGACAGAAAAATGAGGGCCAGCTTTGTGTCCAAGTTCTCTTTCTCTGTCTACCGCATTTTTTGCACACCTTTCCAAATACATTTTCATTGTTTTTATGTGCCAAAACCCATGCACCATTCATAGTGGCATGTACATTCACTTCTTTTCCTACCATCCTCCTTCTGTTAAGAAAAGTGTCCTCATCTCTCTCTTCCTTCGCGCTCTACGCATCAGCGACCCTCAGTTTCTTGATTCTGAAATTGTCCTTATCTACAAATCATTCTCTCGCCTTGGTTACCCCATGCATTTCATCAACTGTGCCTACTCTCAAGCTAAATGCCCCTCTGACTTCTAACCCTTTGGATCACCTCAAAACTTCCTTTAACCGCAAACTAAGACAGCTCTCTAATCTTTGTCTTCCTGACTTTGATCTCATTAAACGTTTCCGTGTCATCTGCCCTTTTCTTCCTTATTTCTATGGTCTTCCTAAGACTCATAAACCTGGTGTTCATCTTTGTGCTATCATTTCTTCATGGGGCTCTGTCAGCTATCCTCTTGCTTGCCTCCTGGCTCGCTAAAACCCTGACACCTTACCTTGGCACTTTTTCCCCTGCCTACCTTCGTCACTCTCAGGACTTCGAAGAAAGACTGCGCCTGCAGCCCTCTTGTAAGATGCTTAGTCTTGATGTCGACTTTCTTTTCACTAATGATCCGCTCGATGACGTTCTCTCTCTCCTTAGACAGAAGGCGTCTGAGGGCCATCTTCCTCTCCCGCTTCCCAATGACATTTTCCTCGAACTCATTAGACTCTGTGTTGGCTCTAACTCTTTCTCTTTCAACGGTAAATATTACACTCAAACTTTCGGTGTCGCTATGGGTTCCCCCTCTCTCCCCTGTTCTTGCTAATTTCTACATGGAATACTTCGAAACTGTTCTTCTTCCGTCTATTGATACTCGTCCCTCTCTGTGGCTTCGCTATGTTGATGACATTTTTCCTTTATGGCCTCATGACCTTAGTCTTTTCCAGCCTTTCCTCTCCTCTCTTAACAATCTGACTCCTCTCCATTTCAAAGTTGAATGGGAATCTAATTCCCTCCATCCTTTTCTTGACGTTCACGTTCACAGCTTTGTGTCCAAGTTCTCTTTCTCTGTCTACCGCAAACCCATGCACCATTCATAGTGGCATGTACATTCACTTCTTTTCCTACCATCCTCCTTCTGTTAAGAAAAGTGTCCTCATCTCTCTCTTCCTTCGCGCTCTACGCATCAGCGACCCTCAGTTTCTTGATTCTGAAATTGTCCTTGTCTACAAATCATTCTCTCGCCTTGGTTACCCCATGCATTTCATCAACTGTGCCTACTCTCAAGCTAAATGAAATTTCCTTCATCCTAAACCTGCTTCCAACACTAGTAGCACTGTACTATGCCTTCCCTTCATATCGGAACCTTAAACTTTTACTAATACCTTTCGTCCTCTTGACATAAAGCTCGCCTTTCGACAAACTAACACACTTCGTAGCAATCTAGTTCACACTGCTGCTCCTGCTTCTAATGCTGCTGGTGCGTACTCTATTTCCTGTTCGTCTTGTTCTTTCCAATACTTTGGCGAAACTGGCCGTACACTTGATTAATGACAGACTTAAAGAACACAAGAGAAGTGTTAAGTCTGCTGACACTAACAATGCTCTCTTCTGTCATGTGAGGGATTCTAATCATCCTATTGATTGGTTTTATTCCAAAATAATTTTTCCTGCCTCTACACAGACGCCGTCTTGTTGAATCGACTCTGATACACAACGTACCCAACATGAACTTGAGTCCTGGCTTTGTTGCTGTTGACTCTTCCCTTTCACAGTATATACTCAAATGCTCTAATCTTTCTAACAAACGTGACCTAACATAAGCTTGCCCTTCCATTTATCTTTCTTTCTCTTTCCTTTTCTTTCTCTCTTCTCTCTCTCTCTTTTCTGTTCATTGTTTTCTCTTACGTTCCCTTGCTATCCTCTTCTCATTCCTATTACTATCCCCTTCTCATTCGGTGGTTATAATAGGAGCTGCCTCGTATGGGCCAATGGGCCTTCTGCAGTTCTTATTCCTACTACTATCCCCTCTACTACACCTACCGTTTGTATCTTTTGCCTTGCTCCTCACTTCTCTCTTGCCTATTTATTGCCCTGTATCGCCTCCCTCATCAAAACAACAACTCCCTCATCACAATCAACTTGAGAATGGTCCAGGACGTACCGAAAAGTCGTTGCCCCTTCACCTTCTAGTGTGTGGTCTGGTCAAACTACTTCAGCCACGTTATTGCGATTCATCGCCTGCACATGGATGAAACATTTTCGGATAGAAAAATGAGGGCAGTAATCAGAGGCAATGTATTGGACTGGAGGAATGTCACAAGTGGAGTACCACAGGGTTCAGTTCTTGCACCGGTAATGTTCATTGTCTACATAAATGATCTACCAGATGGGATACAGAATTATATGAACATGTTTGCTAATGATGATAAGAAATAGGAAAAATAAGAAACTTAGATGATTGTAATGCCCTCCAAGAAGACCTGGACAAAATAAGTATATGGAGCACCACTTGGCAAATGGAATTTAATGTGAATAAATGCCATATTATGGAATGTGGAATAGGAGAACATAGACCCCACGCAACCTATAAATTACGTGAGAAATCTATATTGAATTCTGATAAAGAAAGAGATCTAGGGGTGGTTCTAGATAGAAAACTATCACCTGAGGACCACATAAAGAACATTGTGTGAGGAGCCTATGCTACACTTTCTAACTTCAGAATTGCTTTTAAATACATGGATGGAGAAATACTAATAAAATTGTTCACGACTTTTGTTAGACCAAAGCTGGAATATGCAGCGGTTGTATGGTACCCATATCTTAAGAAGCACATCAACAAACTGGAAAAGATGCAACGACATGCCACTAAGTGGCTCCCAGAACCGAAGGATAAGAGCTACGAGGAGAGGTTAGAGGCATTAAATATGCAAAAACTAGAAGATAGAAGAAAAAGAGGTGATATGATCACTACGTACAAAATAGTAACAGGAATCGATGAAATTGATAGGGAAGAATTCCTGAGACCTGGAACTTCAAGAACAAGAGGTCATAGATTTAAACTAACGAAACAAAGCTGCCAGAGAAATATAAGAAAATTCACGTTTGTAAACAGAGTGGTAGACGATTGGAACAAATTAGGTGAGAGGGTGGTGGAGGCCAAAACCGTCAGCAATTTCAAAGCGTTATATGACAGAGTGCTGGGAAAATGGGACACCACAAGCGTAGCTCTCATCCTGTAACTACACTTAGG